ATAGTGATTCTCTTGAAAATATTTGAACAGGCTGTCTAGTATTGGTTGCAGTTTGTTATTTAATGTGAGGCAGACATTTTTTTGTTCTTTTCTTGTGCCCCATGTATGTCTAAAATAGTATTTGCAGTTTCAGTTCCCATTTTGGTAAGGTTTACACAACCTATATTTGTATGTAAACAGATGAACTGCAGTTTCAGTTCCCATTTTGGTAAGGTGTACAACCTTTTATTTGTTAATTTAAACAGATGACCGGATTTTTCTGCGACTAAAACATTCTTAATTTGGGCTTCAACTTACAAAGAAAACCTTAAGACCTTCTCCAACCGACACCAAAAACTAAAAAAATAGAGTGATTTGCCCCCAATCGATACCCAAACGCAAAACGCAAAATGAGTTTTTCCAACTCTCTCTCCTCTTCTACACCAAATTTGTGTTTTCACTGTTCCAAAACGCAAAATCTTTTTTTAATTACAAGTTGGTCCTTTTTGTTTTGTAGGTTGTTATTTGTATACTAATTTATTTATATTGTTTATTTGTATTACCACATTTGATTTTACTGTATTTTATTTTTGTCGTCATTATATAAAATAAACAATAAAAGTTATAATATTACTAAAACATTTATAGATTATGCATATTTGACAACAAGTTTAAAATAATAAATATTATATTTATCATTTAATTTATATATTTCACAATAATAATGTAAAATATACATATTATTTATTAGTGTGTTGTAATTTTTAATTTTATCTTGTATGTTATAATTTTTAAATTTTATTTTTAATTAATATTTATTTCTCCAATTTTATTATGTATACGATTCTAACGTTATAATTTTATTTATTTCTCCAATTTCGTGAAAATTATATAATATGATATTTAATATAATTAATATGATATTATTTTATATTTGTTCATAATAGAGTAATTAGAGTATATTTACAAGTTAATTTCATATTTACAATCTAGACTGTAAATATATGCCCTAAACCATATATGGTCTAGACTATATATGCCCTAAATCATTTTCTAAAATGTGAATACATAATTTTAATAATTACTATTTGGGTAATAAACATTTATATAACAAATTACATATTCATATATAGTAAATTATGTTAAATAAAAATAAATAAAATATATTTTTATTATTTGAGTAATTAATATTTTATATAGAAGTATTGTTTAATTTGTAAAATTGTAAAATATGTGGGTAGTATTGAAAAATTGTAAAAGTTGATGTAAAAGAGAATATTTCGAGAATATTCTTTTGGGTTGGAAAATGGGTTTTTCGGTTGGAGATGAATTACTGCAAAATGGGATGTGTACTGCAAAATGGGTTTGAGTTTGGTGTATTCGGTTGGAGATGCTCTAAAGGATGAGCTTGATCTTAATTTTTGGATTTTTTTTTTTGTTTGGTTAATTTTGAAAGAAAGTAGCGTAGCTCGTGCGGTGTACATGGCAATAATTATAAATATTATTGAATATTAATATTTTTATGTTATTTTATGATATATATAAAATAATTTAATGTGTGATTTTATATGTTTATTTCACTCGTTTTTTTTTTAATTTATGATATATATAAAATAATTGATTTTTTGAATGCGTTCTTTATTAAGAAATTACTATATAGACACTCGATTTGTTGAACTTTGTTTGATCGGGATATTGATATTGAATAGTGTGTAACCAATGCATTTGTGCGATTAATGTGGGAAATGACATGCGAATCCCATAATCTTGGTTAATTAGTATGATAGACACTCATTTTGTTGAACTTTGTTGAATTGAAAATTTGGGATATTATCTAAATGGTGTCATCAATGCAGTTGTGCGATTAATATGCGACATGATATGCGACTGCATAATCATCACATAAGTGCATAACGAATACGATTACTCTTGGCTTCGCAAAATTCACATATTATTCTGTTTGTGAACTCGTCTATTTTTTTAGTTACGTTATGCGATTAGTATGCAAATATCACATAGTGTTCGCACTTCGATTAAATACTATGTGATTTAGTTTTATTTGCAGTTCGACACTTAAATTGCTTTGATAATTAAAAGTTCCAATGAGATACGCATCCACATTGCATTACATAGCGTCTTCATCTTTACCTAAAATGTCATGTAATGGACATGATGGACAAGATTTGAGTTTTGATTTGTTTGCTTACATGTACGACATCTCCATAAGCCTCTCGAGTTTGTTTGTGGAGCTGGTAAGCTTTCACCTTCATTTGAAAAGAACTCTCCAACAATATCGTACTGAGGGCACTTCGCCTAGTTATGGTCGATGACACCGCAACGAGAACACCTCTGCCGACGCAGTTCTCGACGTGATGATCTCTTAAATTCCAGCAGAATAATGTTGAGTGTGAGTCCCTCCTGTTTGTTTGGGACTGTTTGGCGTAGTTACCTTTATTCGCTTAATTTCTGGGACAAGTGTAATTCATCTAGATGCGGGACAAGGTCAATGGTGCTTTCATACATCCTTGAAACTGAGAAAGTTTTGTGGTCGTTGACGAAATCCATTATATGAAACCCGACATCCTTGTTACATATCATAAATTTGCACATCATATTTGAATATAATACACACACATAAAAAAGTGTAAAAAAATACGATATACACTTTTGGTAAACGTTATCGAATGGCCGCAGATGAATGTATGCAATGTAGTATATCTGTTTGAAATACACAACAATCACATGTTCACATGTCTAAATCTATCACGCAAGTCAAGATTTCTTCCATAATCTTATAATGTTACATGCCAAGTGCGGTAACGGATAAAGAACAACATTTCTTGAATAAACTATCCAACCGCAATTGAGTTCACACCGTTAGCAGATGACTGCAATCTTGGATGGTTGCACGCCAATCATCAAACTATTCTCCATCATTTCCCGAACACACTCCAACACCAAGTATATGGGTAACATCCTAGTCCAAATGAGTTTGTTGTTCAAACTTGTGCAATTATTGGATATCATGAATACATAGCGTGGTACAAGCGCAAAACACCTCGCTCATGCATCTACAAGAATATCGACCATTAGCGTAGTAGTTGCCTTATCGCTTTTGCTTTGAATGAGTTCGTGTAACATAAGATTTGTTTACACTGATAGTTCCAAGATAATTTTCCCATGAGTCTGCAGATATTTGGCGAGATTGAAAAAGCAATGTGTGATGCTCTTCAGGGTACACAAATGAGACAACATGTTTGTCAGATACAATGAGGAGGTTGTCAGGACAGTCATAGGCCCTTCTGAAATGAGTCCAAAACCAACCCCAAGACTCACTAGACTTAACATATCTATTGCCGATTGAGAGGGGAATGATTTGGTGATTCTGGTTTATGTGGCTGCAACAAACCTAATGCCCTTGTATATTCCCTTCAAGTGTGTACATCATCACAAACACCGAGGCACTAGCTCGTTGAAAGCCTTTAATGTTAGCTCCCAGTGCAAAAAAAAAAAAAAACAGGTATTTGAATATCATCCGCTCATTTACATGCAATTAGACCATTGAACCTGGATTACGAGCCTGCACCATGTGCAAGTAGCTAAGAAGCATCCCTCAAGATTCTTCATAACCAACATAAACTTGTACAAAATCACGGTGTTTGCTTGGAGGGCAACAATGTAGTTGATCGATCAACCATAATACTCTCGCATTTGATGAATATATATCTGCTTAGGTAACATGAGGGGATTGGCGTAACAGTTGGTGCAAAGATATAGGCAAAAACATTAGAATGAGCTGAACATTGTCGATTATGTGTCAAACTCCCTTCGCATTTATGCTTAAGTTTTAAAGTAGTGATTTTTCACACGTTTTTTTTCTGCCCTCGCACATAACTTGTAAGAGCACCCTTCATAATGACAAAAATATCTTAATCTATATTTGTAGGATTTGTGTGTTGACGCTCAACTTTTTGCTACATGTGATAAAGCTTGATGGTAAAAACCAATTCATATTTTGAAAGAAAGACATACCCCAAACATAATTCTATATTGTTCGAGGATAAGCGGATAGGTTGTCCATCTGACCCATCTGTCGTGGGCGAAAAATGAAAGGACCACATTTGTGGCTCAATGTCGACTCGTTGTGTGCTACCTGAATGCATTTATGCGAGACTTCCAACATCAAGATGACGTGATATTAATATGAGTTGTTGAAGATGCTTACAAAACCACGTCTTGGAAGTCTTGAACAATTGATCCTCGTCCAGAATGGGTAGTTCGTTGCTAGAGTCATCATTGTGCGTGTTGTTTTGGTCATCAACATCGTCATCGTCACGAGAATGACCTGCTTGGTTCGAACAATCATGTGTGTCATCCAACCCAGAGTCACATCTGATTAAGTTGTGGTTTGATCATTAGTGGCCTAAGTAACTGAAATAGGGTCTTCTCCAATATATGTAAATGAACTATGGCCTACTGGGTGAAAAGAGTTGTCTGCTTGATATGAATAGGAGGCCTC